ATATACAAAAATACATTATGAATGTTATCTTGATCCGGCTGTAGTAACATTTTAAATACTTATTTCAACTTTACTTAATTTCACAAGTAGCATAACTTACAGTTTGCAAGACATTTCATGGCAGACAAAACCCAGTGTGGCAAATCATCTATGGAGGGGCACAAAACAAGACAAAATAAACAATGCAAAAATATGATGTTCACTACAGACTGAAATGACATGTATATGGCCTACCTGTCTTATCTTCCAATGAAACGACTCCATGTTTATTGACTTTGGTCATATTATACACAATGAACTGGGGATTGACTTGGGCTGGATCCAAAACATCTTCAAGAGACCCTGATCCCACCAACTTCTGCAAACTGAGCATTCAGAAGATGATATAGAACATCATGTAGAACATATTTAAAATGTTGTTGTTGTTTTAATTAATTTATGTAATACACCCTCTAATTTTGAACAGTTAGACATGTAACAGAATTTCCTAGGGGGAACACTGCAAAAAAAGACAATATAGCATCACATTTTACTCTATTATTATTTATTTTGGACTAAATCATACAGAATTAATTTCTACATCAAAAACAAACCAGCAGTGACCACTAACAAAACAATTACCATTGTGGACATGCACCAAAGTATTATTTCAAATACCTTGATGTGTCTTGTAAATGCCAAACATTTAGAACCAATACATCAAAGCATTACATTAGATAATCTCGCTACTTTGTAAGTGACTGCAAGCAGGAAGTACTTTTGGTGCAAAGCTGTGTAGGTCAGCGCATGCAAACTATATGTGACAGATGGTGTGGGGGCAGGTGGGCTTACTGTGTAAGTGTGACATTCTTCCAGATGACTTGAATGTCATCCTCTGTGAGTTCCCTGCAGTGCTCCGTCTCGCTTGAGGAAGATCCCACAGATTCTTGCGCTTCTGGATCCACATTTTCCTGTGTGAAATAGCAAGTGGATATTATACATCTGCAATGAAATTTCACGTTGACAACACATTGGAAACAACAAAAATTACCAATATTTCTTTGTCAAATTTCTTAGAGTCCCTAAGTTTGAAGAAACTCTCCCTGTCCATCATAGATCTGCTCTTTTTTCTCAAAACAGGGGCACGGTTAGGAATGGGCTTCAGTGGAGATGTTGATGGAAATCTGAAACATATTTTAAACCAGACAACATTACGATTCTCTATATATGTTCACCAAAATTCTTTCAAACCTTTCTAAAACAGTTTATCATACCTGTACAGCTGGCTGTTGTCCTCCAGGTCTTCCATGCCCCATCTACCCTTCACATCCTCAATAACATGGTTCTTCAAGAACTTTTTTAGCAGCTGGATTGTCTGCTGTCTGGTGACCTCGGGTCCAAAATTGCTGTTGTTCTTCAAGAGTTCATGTAACCAGTCCACAGCTGCTGATGCAGTGAAGCAGTTCATGTAAACTCTGAAGTGCTGTCGGTGCTTCTTCAAAGGCATTCCCGCCCGGAATAGCTTGGTCACTTCATTCCACTGGAAAATAAAAAGATAACATCACATGAAGAGCTTGTAATCACTTTATATATTAAAAAAATAAATTAATAATAATAATAATAAAACAAATATGCAGGGAAAAGCGTTGTTCTCCAACTTTATAACTGTTACTCTTTTTGTTCAAAATGTTTTCACAATTGACATTAAATATACAAGTAGCAAAAGGCATGGTAAATAGTTTTAATGTGAACTATAACAACATATATAGCTAAAGAAACACCTAACAATAAACATAGCACTCCTATAGCTCAAAAACAACAACTCAATTTGTTTAACAAAAACTGAACAGCTAAATAAACGTGCATTATAGACGCAGGTAATTGGCCTTGTAACCAAATGCGATACATCACCAGACCAAATCTGATCAAAAAGGCAGGAGAGACTCACCAGTTTAGTGGCCCTGTATGGACCTGGAGTCACGATGTGTGAACTCATTGAAAAGCTCGCGATGTATTAAACACCTATACAGCCGTTTACATTATTCCTACATATACGGGAGAGTTTGTTTTTGATTTACTGAACACATTAGGCTATATTTAATAGTATTACTGAATATATCGATAGCTAAACCCGCTAATAGATATGTCGCTGGCTGTGTAAACATATAATCCGGGGATGTTTCAATCCTCACACCCGTTTGAAATTACAACACTAACGTCTTGGAAGATTGTGATTGGATGGTTTGTTTGGTCACATGATCTATATTTTGGCTGTCAAAATATTGGTCTTATTAATGATAAACTCTCAAAGATGTTATTTTTTATTATGAAAATCCAAAGCTATTATCTGCAAAATATGTTGTTAATTTCCTTATATTGAATGCAAAAGTCTTCATTCATAAGGAAAAATGGCTTAAATATCCTTTGTCTTTTCCCCTTTTTTCTTGCTTAATTTGACTTTCATTTCATCTTTTATTTTAGACTTACAAATAACAAAAATAGTGCCAATTTTTTGATGCATTATGACAACTTTTCTTAAAAGATGTTGTAATTGTATTTATTTATTTATTTTTGCTTTTATTTTGTTCTGTGTGGATAATACCATAACTTGATGTGTGCAAATCCATATTATTGTTTTTTGTCCTTATTTTAGGATTGTTCTTTGTAAGAATACAGCCATGTCTCATTTCCCTGTTCTTGTACGTTTTTACAAGTTCTGCAATGAAAAAAAATTATAATAAATAAAAAGATAAAAAATAAACATACTTAATAATAAACTTTTTACTTAATTCAAAACACATTATGAACAACATTTCACAAAGTATTTAAATCTGGAACTGGTCAAATTTTATATAACACCAAACAAAGAAAATGTAAAAATTAAAATACAACATAAAAACCAAGAAAAAGGTACTGCTTCACTTATTTATCATTATTATATTTATAATTACATATAATTCAAATTATATAGTTATATATAATTCACATTGCATGCTCTACAAAATATTTGCAAGACAACATGAGTACAGAGGTTAACAACGATAAAAAAAAATCAATGGTAAAATTAAAAGGCTAATTTACATAATATTTGAATATAGATTTGAATGTTTTATAGTTAATAGTTACTACTTTACACCGTTTCATTTTAAGCCATATGTAGTTTCCGTTCTGAGAGGACGTGAATGGGAACGACTACCCATGCTGCAATGCACACACGTTAAGAGTTTCACTTCCGTTTTTATTTCCGTTAGGTGTTTCTGGCGACAGTCAGTTACCAACTCATAACTGCTCGGCAAATATTGAACGGTTTATCTGGTAGGTGCTCGTCTTTGTATAAACTGATGACATTGAACAACATGCTCTATATAATGATATGTACACAAAGTTACTATAGTGTAATTTACATTCATATTGGTGGTGTAGAACAGTCGCTAGAAAGATGTGTTGCTAGCTTTTAGCTATCAATGATACCTACCGAACTTCGTTAGAGAACTGTAACTGGTTTAACAGTTTTATCAAATCATTTTTAAATATAAACATGAATAGGTATATATTTATTGCACAAAAGAAAAATCATAAATCTTTACTCGGTAAAACAAAACTCCTATATTTGCATGCTAAACTAGCTAGCTCACAATATGATCAGTCAATAAAGGCATAAAAGGCAATTACAGCGAGCAATATTGACCCTAAACTACAATGTAAACTTAGGAATATGACTTTTTACACATTGCATGAGATCCTGCATCTAGTGATTTTACAACTCTTCTCTCTTCTCAGGATCTGCTGCTGAAGACAGAGTGCAAGGACGATGATTGATATCAAAGCATGGGCAGAATATGTGGTGGAGTGGGCAGCCAAAGACCCCTATGGCTTTCTCACCACGGTTATCCTGGCTTTGACCCCTCTGTTTATCGCCAGTGCCCTGTTGTCATGGAAACTTGCCAAGATGATCGAGGCCAAGGACCGTGAGCAAAAGAAGAAACAAAAACGACAAGAGAACATTGCCAAAGCCAAGAGGGCCAAGAAGGATTGAGCTTGGCATGGAGAGGGGTCAATGTAACAGTCCGGTCCCCGATATATGGCTCTTCTCTTAACCCAGGACAGTTCTTATGGGACTTGGAGCAAGACTGGGCTTGAAAGAGGCCTTAGTAAACCCTTAGAGGGAACATATAATAGGGAGTTGATTGATCTCAGTGGCAGGACTGCAGTACTTTTCCAGGATATTATCAATACAGTGGAAAATGCACTGCATCGTTGTGCTATACACCATTGTGCAGTACTCTGCATTCCATTTTTTACTGGGTTGATTGATTGTGTTTTCCAAGCTCAATCCACAAAACACTTACATTATGCTTTTTTTTATTAATAAAAAATCTTAACATGAATTTTGGCTCAAAACTGTCTAATGTCTGCGTGATTACTATAGTATTCTTGAATCTTAACCACATTATTTTTCAATGCATAATTTCCTGTGAATGTGAGACCTTTGATTCATTAGCCACTAAAGGTAAATAACTAGAAGAATAACAAAGTGCAGTAAATGTAAAATGCCTGTGTTTATGATTATGATAATAAATTGTGTTATCATATAAATAATAAATACCAGTTTGCAACATAACAGGCTGGTAAAGTAAATTAACTGGAAACCCTTATGGATAAACATAATATTTTGATAAGTGAAGCTGCAACTTTTTTTTACACATTTTCTAAGTAAAGTGCAAAAGGAAATAGACAGAAATTATTTTAAATTAGTCTCTACTGATATTAATAATTTTCAATATGGTGAGACAGCACATCTGAAATATCATTTCGATTAAACTGAATGCATAAAATGTTCTACAACATTTGGTGATTTGATTTTGAAACAATCCTGAAGCAGAACTCAGAAAATTAGCAGCATATTTTTTTTTTCTTTACATCATTTTACAATCCATTTCAGTGATTTTAAAGGAATAGTTCACCCAAACATTAACATTACTAACCCTCAGGCCTCAGAAAATTAGCAGCATATTTTTTTTTTCTTTACATCATTTTACAATCCATTTCAGTGATTTGAAAGGAATAGTTCACCCAAACATTAACATTACTAACCCTCAGGCCATCTAAGATGTAGATGAGTTTGTTTCTTCATCGGACCAGATTTGGAGAAATGTAGCATTACATCACATTCCTATCCAGTTGATCCTGTACAGTGATAGGTTCCGTGAGAATGAGAGGAAAAACTAAATAATAATGCACATAATTGACATGACTCCAGCCCATCAATTAATGTCTTGTGAAGTGAAAAGCTGCATGTTTGTAAGTTAACATCCATCATTTAACTTTGAAGTTTTCACTTTAAAGTCTAGAATCAATAATAATGCTTCCTCCAGTGAAAAAAGCCATCCCCTGTCATCCTCTCACATCAAAATCGACCAACATATTTGTTCAGAACTGCTTTGGCTCTTGATTTAGACACGGAGAAGGCAATATTATGGATAGAGGACTTGTAATTTAGCTGGAAGCAACAGTTTGAAGTTAAAAACATCTCAATGCTGAGCTTTTCAATTCACAAGACCTTTGCGATGTTATATTGTCATGTTTTCATCAGCTCTTTGGACTCCAAATTCTCCAAATCTGTTTGGCTGAAGAAACCACCTACATCTTGGAAAGCCTGAGGGTGTGTACATTTTCAGAAATGTTTAATTTCTGGGTAAAATATTCCTTTAAACCTGAAAAATAATAGCAAGCTAACCAGTCATTACATGCAGAGCTTTTCAATTGTCTCAAGAAAACCAGTACTGAATTTATATCAAGAAGTGCTGAGATGCAGTGAAAATCAGCAGAACTACTATTTCACTTAAATTGCAAATTTACTTGAAGACAGCAAAGGAGGTTTCACATAAACCTATTTTTTGCTTCCTGGAGGTGTCCAGGACCCAGGCTGGAATGTGTTGGCAGTGCTTACGGGGTCCTCACTGAATTCAGTCTGTTCAAACTGTGTGGCAGAAGCATGACCTTTGACCTGAGTCTGAACAGGTCGGGCCACCAAACCTTCCTCATACTCTTTGGCCTGCAGGGCTTTATCCTTCTCCTCTGCCTCTATAGCTCTGACTTTAATCTGCTCCCTGTAACGTTCGTTCTGTAGCAACTCCTATAGAGGGCAACACAGACAAGTGTTAACACGACACTCCCAATGATGTGTTCATTACAACATTACTTGCTATAGAATTGTAATTTTAAGATACAATAAAAAGAAAATGTACAACCTTTCTGGTCTTAAATTTTTTTGTTCTATTTATATTTTTAGACATTATATAATGATTTGATAGGCACTCTCAATTTAATCAGACACAAAAATACCTCTATTGTAGGTGGCTGCTTCCGTCTGCCCCTGATCCAAGCTACGGGAAAAAGAACAGACAAGAGATAATGATGTTCAACAAGGAACTAAGCTAATATATAATTTGATAACAATATATATATAGTGTTGCGTTTATAATTTTGTTCAGTGTAATTGGATGTCAAATTCATCTAAAATGTCACTGAAAAAGCACCATAACCCAATCTCCCATACTGTATCTTTAGGGTGCTGAGTCTGGAGTTGAACCACAACAGAGATGTTGATCGTATTCATGGCAATGGAATTAACACCCTGGACATTGAGGTTATTGATGGAAGATAGTAAGTGTACTATAACCACAGAATTCACATTTATGTATATTTGCATGTAACACAATTATTTTCTTGTGATGATCCTTACAACAACAAGACAGTAATTGCTACAAATTTCTGGCCGGGTTTGCATTCCAGTATGTTGTCAGGTGGATCTGATGGCGTAATTGTGATCTATGACTTGGAAAACAACAGCAAGAAGCCTCAATACACTTGCAAAGCAATCTGCACAGTGGGCAGGTCAGTATGACTCCATTCTCGTTCACAGTGATCCAGTGACCACCAGATGGCAGTATGATATTTTCAGATTTTAATGTGTTTGCATGTTATGTGTGGCTTTCACATCTCTGTTTTTCTGTGAAGGTCCAGTCGGCATGTGCATAAATTCAGCGTTGAAACAGTGCAGTGGTATCCGCATGACACTGGTATGTTTGTATCCAGTTCATTCGACAAAACCTTGAAAGTCTGGGACACAGAAACCCTGAAGGTGTGTCTATGTCCGTGTCTGCAAGATTACTCATTTATTTATTTTTTTCTCTCCTTAATAATATTTTGTATGTATGTATGTATATACACATATTGCTAATTTCACTTCTGGTTAGTTGCTAACTGCATTTAATTGGCTCTGTCCTTTCACAATGACAACAACGTTGAATCTAATCTAATCTATAAGTATACATGACCACCTGCTTTTACCCAAGCCACAAAGTCCCCACAGTTTTTTCCACAAATGTAATTTAGCAAATTATCCAACAACTGAAAGCAGTAAGCCTTTGTTGAACCACCAGTCTGCTCAAACAGTGGTTCTTCTGTGGTGTCAAATGTCCCTTATCTGTTGGCCCTTCATCTGGTATTTGCATTGTAACTGACACACAGGAATGGTGCCCAAGCAACATTCAATGCCTCCTGCTCCCTTAAGCACATCTAACATGGGTGTATATATGTGTATTTCCCTTTTAAAATATGATTTAACCACATTAAGGTTCACTGAATATGATTGATTATTTATTTATTCATGTATTTATTTATTTCAGCCAGCTGAGGAGTTCCAGTTTGATGGTAATGTCTACTGTCATCACATGTGTCCTATAGCCAGGAAGCACAGTCTTGTAGCAGGTGTGTTCTCTGACCAAACCAAACCTTCTGCATGTGGCTGTTCTTTTGCACTTCTGAGCACTCATTACTCTTTGATTTGATTCAGTTACAAATTTAGAATCCTTAGAGCTGTAGAGTAGCACATTCAAAGCTTCTACATCTTCAGATGACCTTCAAAAAAAGAGTTTATTCCTAAAATGTATGTTTTTGATAGATGCTCATATCTGCTCTAGAATATTCTTTAGGTAAAGTGGAAGTATTTGAGGGATCTTTATCGTCATTATCATTAAATGGGGAGACGGTGAAACATTTCCTGCTTTAGATGTGAGAAGTGAGGAATCCAGGCCCTTATCTACTAATCAAGAAGGACAGGTTATGAATGCCTCCATGTCCCATTGTCTCTGTCTTTTCTTTTCTCTCTTTCTTTTTCTATTTTTCCCAATGAGTTTCAATGAACTCATAATTAATTTTACCCCAACTTCCATTTTTTCAGAAAAAAAAACTTGTTTTAAGAAGACTTGTTCTTAATAATCTTCCATAGTATAGTAAGAAGTGACATGATTATATGCTGAATAGCCAAATGCAACCTTCTCTATAATGTAATATTTATCACAAGTTAGGATCTGCCCTGATACATACTTTTGTACATATGATCAGTCTTTTTGTCTTCGCTGAATTATCTTTACAGCTAGTGACATCAAGGCCTTTACAGAATTTCACACTTGTTTCCAACTTCATGCATGTCAAACATTATTCATTTTGGGTGTTCTGAGTCCTCCTGTGTTTGAGGCATGGTTCACATCAAAATTTCTGATAAATTTGGCCTGACAGCTCTGACTAACACCTAGTTACTGGAAACCATTCAAATGTAAATGTGATTAAGCATTATTATTTAAGTAAACTGTATTTGTATGTTTATTGTGACTTAGTTAAAAATCTGGTAAATTTTTATGACCAATTTATGCCAGAAAATCTGACATCTCGCATAATTTTTCTTGCAACTGCATAATCAGAATCATTTTTTAAGATTATATTCAACATTTTCCCAAAAGTTTATCATTTGTATTCCAGTACATAAATCTTATAAAATAACAAAATATTGTGCAATTACTTGCCACAAACACACATTGGTGTGTACAGTGTGTGTTGCCCTTAACACTGGGTTCAGAGCTCCTACAATAACAGTGTGTCTGAGCTGTTGTATTATTCTTTTCTCACTCAGCTCTATTGTGCTCTGTGTTGGCAGTTGGTACCAAAGACCCCAAAGTGCAGCTTTGTGATCTGAAGTCTGGGTCGCGCATCCACATCCTTCAGGGTGAGTAATGCCAGTTGTTTCTGAATGGAGACAGCCCTGGTGGAGGGGTATTGTACTCTTTCAAAAGCCAAAGGCTCAAATGTTTTGAACAGACATCAAATCCTGGCCATATTAGCAGCAATTTTCCCAGATTTTTCTGTTCATCTCAGATACTGCAGTGCAAGATTTACACTACCATTCAAATATTTGAGGTTGCTAAGATTTTGTAAAGTGCATTAAAATAATATTATTGTGAAATATTGATATAGTTTAAAATAAATGTTTTCTATTTTAAAATATTTCTATTTAATATTGTGATGCAAAGCTGAATTTTCACCAGTCATTCAGTGTCACATGATCCTTCAGAAATCATTCTAATATGCTGATTTGGTGCTCAGGAAACACTCTTATCTCTGTATATCAATGTTGAAAAAGATTGTGCTGCTTAATATTTTTTGTGGAAATTGATACATTTTTTTTTCAGGATACATTGATAAATACAAACAGCATTTATTTGAGATAGAAATCTTTTGTAACATTATAAATGTCTTTAGTGTCACATTTGATCAATTCAGTGTGTCCTTGCTGAATAAAAGTATTAAGTATTTGACCCCAAACTTTTGAACGGTAGTGTACAAACATTGAGAGTTGGCCAAAGTGTCAGTTATCATAAAAACAAGTTTTCCCTGGCAGGTCACAGGGGCGAGATCCTCTCAGTGAGATGGTCTCCACGATATGAGCACATCCTGGCCACCGCCAGGTAAGCACTTCCACACCTGCACAAATGTCAATGCACTCACCTTTCATTTGCTACCATAACAATAAACAGCCACATCCTGTGCTATATGATGCTGTTGTTTTTTAACTATTGAGGATTATTTATGGTACATTTTGTTTTTTATATAATCAACTCACATGCAGTATTTATGCATAATGTTATCAGTCTTCTCAAAAGATTCAGCGCTCACCTGCTGTTTGCATAATGTGAGTGAATGAGAGTGAGATAATTAGCCTGTGTGTCAGCCTTCTGCAAGATTTTTTGCTAAATCTATTTTACAAGTAAACTGAGATCAACATTTGAACTAAGCATATAAAGTTCTAGGAAGAAACTGATTGTAGGAAGACTTTCAGGCATTTTGGCATCTGTTTTGTTTGGCATCTAATTCCCAAACGAGATTGCTGATGGTTGCCTAATTTAGGTGGGCATAAGGATGATTATGTTAGCATTACATAAACAGAGGGATCAAACTTGTTTAAAGGCCAGTTCTGAATCTGGCCTCACCATCTGTAGGTGATTTATTTATCTTGCATTAATGCTAGTAACTCTTGTGCAATGGATTTCCCATCAGCACTGACAGTAGGGTTCGTGTCTGGGATGTGAGAAGAGCCTCTGGGAGTCTTTTTACTTTGGACCAGCACAATGGGGACAAATCCAAGGCCTCATCTGAAGCAGGTGAAATCACACTTGTTTCATCAAGCCTCATGGGGATAAATGTGTTTTAATCTTTACACGATATTCGGGAAAATTAACTGCATTTTGAATGAATTGTAATCTGTTAGATTTTAACTGAAAAGCATTTGATAGATTGTTCATGAAGCTGTATATCAAGCCTCATGGGGATAAATGTGTTTTAATCTTTACACGATATTCGGGAAAATTAACTGCATTATGAATGAATTGTAATCTGTTAGATTTTAACTGAAAAGCATTTGATAGATTGTTCATGAAGCTGTACTCAAAATAGAATTTACTGTGTGCATTCTATAAAATGCATTTATGTGAATAAATATTGCTACCTAAATAGTGCATAATAATTAATATGCAATTTTAAAGCAAATTCAGATGATACGTTTTTTAAAGATATCAGACTGTTGCCACAGCGAAGAGTGCAGCAAGCATAAGAATTAAATGACAAATAATATCTGTGTGTAAAAGATGCTGACAACTCATATTGCTGTATCAGACAAAGAGCTGTTTTTATACTTTATAGACCTGTCTGTAATCACCCACATTATACTTGCATGTATTTTTTTTAGGGATGCACCGATACCACTTTTTCCAGTACTCGCCCGATACCGATACTTTTATTTTTGGTAGAGTTTTGCGACCTTAGGGAGCGTGATGGATTGTAGCGTGGTAGAAGACTAGTTAGGTACGCAGGAGCTAACCCATTTAGGGCCTTATAGGCAAGTAATAATATTTTGTAACTGATACGGAACTTAATAGGTAGCCAGTGCAGAGACTGTAAAATTGGGGTAATATGATCATATTTTACAGATACTTGGTTCACTAGAATATTAGAATAACTAGAATAACTAGAATAACAAGACAATATTTTAATACTATTTTTAAGACATTTTCAATGACAACATATTTGTCTTTTAATTACAAAAAGTAAAACAATGCAGTTGTATTTTGAAATATTTTAACTAATCTAGGGCTGTAACTAATGATTATTTTGGTAAACAAGTAATCTACTGATTATTTTGACAACTGAGTAATCTGATATTTTTAGTAACAAACAGACCTAAGTGAAAACCAGGCTTTAGTATGACTATTTATATATAAACTACCGATGAGGCAATAATAATTTACTCAAATAAAATATCAAAACCAAGTACTTACATGGTTTTATTGAACAACACTGTTAAAATACGTAATGTAATATGCCTTTACATAATACGAACATAACCAACGTAAGTAAATTATGTACTGTATTATAACAAATACCTGCAGAGGGCGCCAAAGGCCTGGTGATGTTTCACTTTACAGCGTGATTCCATTAAATCCATTAAATTTTAATATTTGGCCACATGCAAACTCAGAAACGTTTATTTTGAAATCGCGATGCACAATAAATGGCATATTTAGAAATAGGTTGATGTATTGTCCTGTGTTGGAAAAGGTTTATAAATTATTTACGTTACATGTAGTGAGATAATGCACACTGTTTTCCCAGATGAACGTAAGCAATTCAAATTCACAGCATATGCAGATGAAGAGTTTAGCCCATTTCACACATACAGCACTGGTAAATTACCGGTAAGAGATCATGTGTAATTCAGGACCTTTTCAAAAATCCTGGTAAATTTGTTCTGGCAATCATATCGTTCTTATGGAGATGACATGATTACTCTGAGCTGTTTACAAAGCTCCGCTGCTTTTTAATTAGTTTTTCTATATAAATATGCGTTAGATGGACATCTTTGACCATTGCGCCTCGCAGCTTTTTGTCGCGCTTCTCTCCATTCATCAGGGCTGCGACTCTGCAATTGGATACTAATTCGCGTCTCGTGTTTATAAGAGCAAAATATTCTGATTGGCTAGTAGGCTAATGTTAGTTTGGTTGAGAGTGTAAACTGTGCTCCTCTCATACCATTGGTAGGCGAACTCATGGACTCGATGAACTATATGTACAATACAATACAAATATTTTTCTTATTTATTATATTTCTTATTTATAAAATTATATATATATATATATATATATATAGAGATATTTGGCCACATGCAAACTCAGAAACTTTTATTTTGTAATCGCAATGTACAATAAATGGCATATTTAGAAATAGGTTGAAGTATTCTCCTGTGTTGGCAAAGGTTTATAAATGATTTACGTTACAAATCTAGTGAGATAATGCACACTGTTTTCCCAGATGAACGTAAGCAATTCAAATTCACAGCATATGCAGATGAAGAGTTTAGCCCATTTCAAACATACAGCACTGGTAAATTACCGGTAAGAGATCATGTGTGTGTGATTCAGGACCTTTTCAAAAATCCCGGTAAATTTGTTCTGGCGATCATATCGTTTTATGGAGATGACATGATTACTCGGAGCTGTTTACAAAGCTCCGCTGCTTTTTAATTCGTTTTTCTATGTAAATATGCGCTAGATGGACATCTTTGACCATTGCGCCTCACATCTTTTTGTCACGCTTCTCCATTCATCAGGGCTGCGACTCTGAAAAAAATTCACAAAAAATTCTGATTGGCTAGTAATGTTAGTTTGGTTGAGAGTGAAATCTGTGCTGCTCTCATACCATTATTAGGCGAACTCATGGACTTGAATGTGATATCAAGTTTTTTTTTTTTTAAATGTAGGACTATTTTTTTCTGCAGCCAAATGCTGCACGCCGGAGATCCGGTGTTGTGCCGAATTCTGACCCCCCTAGTATGGGTAGGTTTAGGGTTAGGTGTGGGGGAGGGGTTAGGATTAGGGGTGGGGTTAGGATTAGGCAATTAGATAGCGATTTCAACGAGAGGGGTAATAATTTGGCATGGGGTCGAAAATGGGCACAACACCGGCACCGTGTCGGAGAAATATAAGATTTAAAAAAAATTAAGACCTGAGATTATATTATATATGTTAGTATTTTGTCTGAATAAATTAAAAATTAAACACTAAAAATTGTAATAAATAATTGTAAATGCTTCAAGTGAATTTAGGCATCACAACATTATAATGTACAATATAAAAATGGATATTGATTTTGTAATTTAATTTGATCAAAAATACAGTAAACCAGTAACAGTGTCAAATATTATTACAATTTAAAATAATATTTTACACATTTTATTCCTGTGATGGCAAAGCTGGATTTTCAGCAGCCATTACTCCAGTCTTCAGTAATGGATTTCTGAAGGATCTGACATGATCCTTCAGAAATCATTCTAACATGCTGATTTTGTGTTTAAGAAACATTTCTTATGATCAATATTGAAAACAATCGTGCTGCTCCATATTTTTGTAAAAACCATGATAGGTTTCTCAGGATTGTTTGATGAATAGAAAGTTCAAATGAACAGTATTTATTTTAAACAAATCTTTCGTGATGTAAACGTCTTTACTTGATCAATTTAATATGTTTATCCATATATTTTATTTATTGTACATCCCTAACTAATATGAAAAATATGTATCAGAGTTTAATGTCTATGTCTGCAGAGATTGGTTAGGCAAACTTGTATAAATGTATTTATGACCTTGTAGAACATCTCAGTCAGTACAGCAAACAACACTTTCTGCAGCAAAAACCAGTGGCAGTAAGCATCAAAACAATAACTCTATCCACAAAACTGTCTGTACACACAAAACCTGGGTTAAATTTATGACTAGAAGAAAGCCTTTTTGGAAAGACAACATATCCCACATACATTCCCTTGTTCTCGGTTACTCACTTGGCAGTGGAGCCTGTGTTTTCTTCATTCTCGGAGGACGAGGATGTGGACGAGGTGATGAAGAAGGCTGGGTCTGTGTGGTTGGAGTGGCCGCCGTGAGCTTGGTTGATGGGGGACAACCTCTCGTAGAGCGGCATGTGCTGCTTCCCGTCATTAGGAATGTTGCTGTAGCTGTTCTGTTCTAGGAGCCCTTTAGCTGACGGGTCCGCCTCATGGACAGGCTCGGCCAACGGAGGGCCGGAATAGCCATGCTGGACCTGGGAGAATGAACAGAAACATGTATGTGTCAGTCTGATGGGTAAGCGTGAGTCATTCAGGATGGACCATAATGGTGAAATGGTACTCACCCCAGGTTTGCCTGGAATGTTAAGCATCTGCGGTGCTGCTGGCAATCCCATCTGATTTGGTCTGACTGTGGGCATACAAATGTAAAAAAGAATCTGGTTCAATCTCTGGAGCAAAAACTGAAAATAATGTAGAGAAACTTAGAAAGAAAAACAACCATTCCCAGAAAAGATATATATTTTTTATTGCTAAAAAAGCCCTAACTGAGATTCTTGTTATACCGCATGTCCACCCACCTTGGAAACTGACCTTGATGCATTCAAAATGTGTGTAGGCACAGAGTCGCAGTGAGGTATATGAGAAACAGCCCGCATTCATACCATTCTAACAACACCAGAACATTTAAAATCATGCAAAATGTCAGTCTGTCTGAATTCGATTAAAGACTATTATAGTTCTACAAGACAACCACTATAATTTGTCAAACATGCTCTCACTGATTGGAAGATGCCGAATTTAATTATTCTCTCATCCCATAATGTTCAACTGACACCCTTTCAATGAACCTGCTGAAAGTTTTCAGCTCTCTTGAGTGAGAGTCCTTTCTAAAGAAGCCCATTTGTATGCACAGCGGCCATTCCAAGTGCACACAAGGTCTGAGGCAAGTGGAAAAATTTCTCACATTACTGTGAGGGCTGAGACCGAGAGACGTTTAAGAAAGAGACAGAGTGTGCCTCTAAAACCTGGCCTCAAACACAGACAGGAAAACACAACACCAGGCGAGCATTAGTACACTTGTCCTGCTCCAAGAATTTAACCAGAATGAACCAACAGGAACGGATGTCA